ACATGGGCTCACCACTCAAATCATTGTCCAAACCGTCCCCAGCCTTGTCCATCCTGATTTCTTGCACGCAGCGAGCCCTGGCACCAGTAATAGCAAAACGAATGTAATTGATGGCGTTCTGGCGTGAAACAGATGTCCGATAGGTTCCAGTGAGCCCAATCGGACACCACGTTTGCAGGTGACAGATGACGGTCAGCATTGAGAAACTGGACCGATGAGAATTGCCAACCTTGGCTCACCTGATGAATATCCAAAAATCGCGAATTTCCGTCGCCGTTTCCGCAAGGAAATCGATGATTGTGCGGACTCACAAATCGACCCCCGAGTTTGTGGAAATGCACAATTTATTCCCGCTGCCACTTTTCTTGTGTGCGTCAAAATTGTGAAAATAAAACTTTGCGCAACGTCTCTAGTAGACCACAAATTCAGCATTAAAAACAAGTCAGCTCAGAAATATTTTCACCATTGACACAGGATAACTTGATTTGATACCATGTTTTTTGATGCAAAATGTAGCAATACACCATTCCCAGACAGCAATGCTGTAAAATAACACTGCAGGTGATGAACGTGCCTGTAGCTTGAACCTGTTTGTCAGTATAGTTGAGCATTTTGAGCATTTTTTAATTCTAGACACAAGCTGATATTAAACCCAAAATTCTGCATCCAGCATCAAAATCATAAGTTGCAATCTGGTGTATTATACATGTAATGAACCTCTGAGTTGAAAAAAGGAACCAAAGTACATTGATATCATCCAGCTACAATTGTGACCATCACATATTTTCACTCAGTATGTTGTTGCAAAAGCTTTATGCTTAGCAGCTGACTCCTTTCTCACAACCAAGTGTCTGCCACACCAAAATTTCTGTGTATCTTTCAAATGATAAACAGTCTGCACTCTTAAACCATGTGCCAACAAAGTGGAAAATGAACAATATATACAAGTGTACCAGCCTCCAGTGCTTCTATTTGCATAATATGGAAGTAGAACCAAAATTAGTCCAGACTCACTGCAGGTTAAGTAGTGATGACCAAGTATAAATGGATTTAACAAGTTTGGGTGTCATTTATGTCATGGGTTGGACTCCAGTATTCCACATGAAGTGACATCATCTTCAAGAAGACCACAAGGGATGCCAAAATAGTGAATTATGTGAAATAAGCATAGCAACATTTGCTCATAGGGTGTGACTAAAATGAAATTAAAACATAAGTCCTGTGCTATGTATTGAAGAAAGTACCAAGGCAAGGCAAGATGGTTGCCACCTTAAATTTTTATCAAAAAAGAATATCATACTCAATTTGCTGCAGCTTGAAGTTTTGCAGATGTTTCTCAGTCTGCAATAACCAACATCCTTATTAGAGCAGCTTCAACTTGCTTGTCTTCCTCTTTGAAAGCTTGCTACATCATTCTAGCTTAGTATATTAAGACCAAGCACTTTCCTTTGTATCAGAACAAGGAGGTGTTAGCTCAACTTGGCAGAGCATCTGATTCCAGATCTGTAAGGCTCAGGGTTCAAGTCCCTCACTCCTCAGCTTTTTCTTTGAACCAAGGGGCTCAAAATCTTCCACACTGTAGAGCAAACTTTGATATCCTCAATTTCAATTTTTGAGTTCAGAAGCTTTTACTTTTATTTTGCTATTCCTACATTACACCCAACAAAAGTTGCTTTACACATTGGAAGATTTCAAACTTGATTGACCAAGCCAAAATTATTGTCCGTAAATGGTCCTACCCTGATTGTCCATACCACTGCCCTTCTCTCCATCTGCCCCACAAATTCCTTCTCTGGTATCACAAATTTTACCCCATCCAGATGCTCTGGTGACAAAAGCACATCCAGCAAGATGCTACTATCTTTGTCCTCATGGAAAGAATGCTCAACACTGATAACATTACTTGACCAGCCAGGAGTAAACGACAAGTGTGCCTCCTCACCAAGCTGGTTGAGTGTGCGTTCAGGATGAACAAGCAATCCAACTTCCATACCACCCTCCAGGACAACTCTAGGCCACGTTACGTTCATAACTGACAAACATGAACGTGGCTCCTCCATGATAGACACATAAAACCAATAAATGTCCTGACCATTCAACCTCCCTTGTTTTGTCACAACGCGGACTCCTCCTGCAACCAAATCAGTGCTCCCCTCTGGGCTCCTTGGGTACACCCTTGTCCCGTATACTCCCTCCCCATTGATTGAAAGCCACCGATGCAAACCCTTCAATCTCAGCTCCTGCACTGATGGCAAGCTCCCGTCTGCCTTGGGACCAACGCCAAGCAGCACGTTTCCTCCCTTTGCAACCACGTCAACGAGGTCCTCTATGAGCTGCGCCGTTGTTGAAACAATACCTTGGGATCCTGTGATGTCGCCATCTTCCATGCGATTGTAACCAAAAGAAAAGCCGACACCATGACACGTCTCCCATTTACGAGAGGGAATGGTACGGTAGCGCGTGTACTCAGGCGTGATGAAGTCACCCTCGTACGTCTCATCGTTGCTCAATCTGGGAGCTGCACTGGCAAGGTCTAGCTGCATGAACCACCGATCATTCACCAATCCGTGCGGTACCTTCCTGAAATAGTCGTTGAGCAGTCGTGGAACAAATGCTGAAGGGGGCGACGAGGGATATGTGATGTCACCCTTCAGAGTTCGGGAAAGAACCAGCGATCGAAGTATAAGTTGGTGATAACGCGGTGCGATTAATGTGCAACAAGTCGCACTCACCCACAACACGTCCGGTTTATACCTGTTCACAAGTTCCCTCACGTGCTCATCCGCCCACGACGCATATTCAGCACTCTTTGGAGGAAGCGGTCCCCACGTATTCACATCCCTCCCCATCTCGAAGCTCCAATCGAAACCGCCGCTGTAGTAGAGACCAACTTTGAGTCTCTGATGGTGCGGCACTGGCGTACGAGGGTTCCGAAAGGCCTTCATGAGACGGGATATGAGATCGTTTGGGGGATGCGAGAGGTGAGGGGGGAGTTGAGGGTGCGGGGATGATGGTGGGAATAAGGTATATCCGTCGTGGTGTTTCGCTGCCAGAAGAGTCTCGTCATTATGGGAAGCCACACTGGCCCGTTGTATCATTGCGATCACTCACTTGTGACAACAACATATCTCGCTCCACTCCACCTGAACCATTTCTCCCACACACTGCCATCCCACGAGCGAGTCTCGTTTGCGAAGATCGGGGCAAACGTTTCGTAGTAGTCAGCGTCAGGACCGTAGGTGGCCGCGTGGTGCTTGGAGGTTAACGAATCGGGGAGCGTTTGGGACCAGAGATACCATTCGGCGTAGGGGTTGTTTGCTGGAGCGGCGGCGGTGAGCTTGGTGGAGTGGGAAAGAGTGATGTAAACTCACTGAACCTGGAGGGATGATCGAATGTGATGGTTGGAATTGTGGCAACAGAGACGACATAAGAGCCTTCACGAACCAGTCTTTCCAGTCAGGATTCGATCCGAACTTTCCTGAAGGAGGTGCCCAGCCGGGAACTAGAGTGGGGCATGAACCGTGATTATTACAAAGTGGAGTCAACGCAGGTTCGTTTCTTTAGTATGTCTCAAAAAAGATATCAAGACCTCCCACACGCTTCGCACAAAGTGCAGCGTGCAGATTTATGTCGTTTAGCTCTCGAGTTAGGACAATTTATCCATTCGATCGCTCAATCTTTCCAATCCGTCCCAACGCCCGCTCCGTACGCACCCGAATACAACCCCCAATGGACAATAATCCCAATCTTGGCGTCATCGAACCACGGATCCACAGGCCTGTCCGCCGGAATGGGAGCGTCCAGGTCTGGCTGGTGCCGAGCCGCGTTGGAGGAGAGCATTGGCAAGTCGAGCAGGGAAAAATGTGATAGTGTGGCAGTGAAGAGCCCGAGGAGGGCGACGAAGGATATCGTGGAAAATGGGGATAGCATGAGAGGTTGGAACAGGAAAGTTTAGCCGGAGCTGCAAGTTGTCTGAACAGAAAATGGGCATCTATTGTAGCAGCAGAGCGGCAATAAAATTTCGTCTACCACTCTCAAAGCGGCATTACTTCTTCAACAATCCAACCACACCTTCTCCCGCCAACGCCTCGATCTTCCCCTGGTCGTACCCGAGAATCTCGGTGAGCACTTCCGCCGTGTGCTCACCCAGACGAGGAGGCGCGCGTCGGATGGTGGGAGGAGTGTGCGAGTAGCCTACGGGGTTGGCTGTGGGGCAGACGGTGAGTGTTGAAGGAAACAGCAGAGTCAGAGAAGGCCGGACGACCCAACTCACCGACGACTTTGATGGGCCCGAACGACTCGTGCTCCACCTCTTGCACCAGCTTGAGGTGCTTGACCTGATCATGCTCGAACGTCTTCCTTATATTGTTCACCGGCGCATACGTGAACTGCACGCGCTCCTTATGGAACAAATCCAGCCACTCCTGCGTGGTCCTCTGCCTAAAAATATCCTCCATCATCGGCAAGAGCACGTCCCTGTGCGCAACTCGGGACTCGTTATCCGCGAACCGGGGTTCGTTTGCAATATCGTCGCGCCCGATTAGGCGGAGGAACGCGACAAACATGTGGTTGCTCGGCATCCCGACGACGACGCTGCTGTCCTTGGTTGGGAAGCTTTGGTACGGTACGATGTTGGTGTGTGCGGTGCCGAAGCGGGAGGCTTCGAGACCGCCGATGAGGAAGTTGGAGGCGATGTTGGCGAGGGCGGCGGTCTGAGGTCGCGCGGATAGGGTGAGTAGCGATTAGTAAGACATTTATCCATTGCAGTTCTTGAAAGCTGTAGGTGACTCACTTGTGACGCGAGAAGACTGCAGTCGATGTGCTGTCCACGGCCCGTCACTTGTCGCGACATCAGTGACGCCAAGATGGCACCGTGGGCGTACAAGCCCGTTGTAATGTCGGTAATAGCAACGCCGACTTTCACGGGAGGTCGGTCGGCCTCTCCTGTGATGTGCATGAGACCGGCTTCGGCTTCAATCTACGATTTGCAGTTGGGACGAAAGTGCCACAGGTGTCAGATGTGGCCAAACGGCTACTCTCGGGGAGTACGTACCAAGACATCGAATCCAGCACGATGCGAGTGAGGCCCGGTTTGGCCGTATCCCGTGATGGAGCAGTAGACAATCCCGGGATTGACTTTCGACATGGATTCGTAGTCAAGTCCCCATTTCGCAAGAGCTCCTAAACGAGCGAAAAACATCAATTACGATGTAAACATTTTAGAATCACTAATTCGATCAGGCCATCGACTCACCCGGGACGTAATTCTCCACCAACACGTCGCAGCTCTTTGCCAAGTCCTTGACAATGGCCTGCGCCTTCTTTTCCTTCAAGTTCAAAACCACAGACCGCTTGTTCCTGTTCACGCACATGAAGTAGGCGGCGTCCCGCTCGGACTGGTCAGCCGATAGCAAGAACGGAGGTCCCCATCGGCGAGTTTCTGTTGAAACAGAACAACCATTGTCACACGATGGAAGGAGCGACACGATAGGTTAGCTCTTCCATGGCGAATTCAGGCGAGCGTGTCCCCTTTACTCATTTGAGGGCATCGGCCCGTGTGGTGAAGCCGGCCGGCCCGTGACACACTCACCATCGCCAGACGGAGCCTCGATTTTGACCACGTCGGCTCCAAGATCTCCCAGAATTTGCGTGCAGTACGGGCCTGCCAGAATGCGTGTCAGGTCCAGGACTCTAATTCCCTTGAGGGGCAACGGCGGCGGAGATGCTTCCGTCGAGAACTTCCGTCGCGGAGATGGGACCGCGCATCGGGGGGCGAGAGGGAGTGATGCTGGGACGTATGCGGTCGCACGTAGCTGCAGGGACAGAGAGAAGCTGCGTTGTGCCATTGTGGAAGGAAAGGAACCAAACTTTATTGTACCGGAAGAAAAGTCGGTGCTGCGGTCAGTAAATAGTTCATCCGAGTTTGTCATGGCGGGAAGGAGTTCTCCTGCTCCGCTTTACTTTCCCCTTGCTGCTTGTGCTCCCAAAAGATTCCGGAGTATTTGCTTTGCCATAGTGGAAGGAGAGTGTTGTAAATACAGGTTTCCCTATGTACACTTTTGCATGCTTTACTGCATAGTGGTATGTTCGGACGCGAAGACGTAGCATCATCTTCTAAACCTCAGAATGGTAGAAGCCAATCGATTGTATGTGCTGCTTGGGCCGATTCAAATCATATTCGGAGAACCTGTTTCGATAGTCAAGACACCGACACTCCGAAAAGCTCTCGACAATCTTAAGAGATGCAGTCTTTACACCTGTTTGTAAAGTGGAGTTTCCATGGTCCAAATTACACGACCACAACGTGCAACGGAGGCCCACCACAATGCCCACGGTTCCCGGCGCCGCCGATGTCGATGCGCTTCTCCAGAAGTACGAACAAGGCTTCTACATTCCGTTCGAGAAACTAATAGCTCCGGCTGCTCGATGGAGCGAGCTGTTGCGGGGGAAGAAGGGGGCGGTACCAAAGGACAGGCCCTCGTTCGCGCTGTACGAGGCGGTGGCCCTGGATCTTGATGTGAGACTAACGATTTGACGA